GTTGCCTTAAATTGTGATGTCCTGAAGTACTTAAATCAGCTGAGGCCTGGACRCACCTGGAAATAAGTTCCTTAAATAACAAAGTTCTTAAGTTTTCTTTCAGGAAAAGAGTTCAGAATCCACTCAAGCACTGTTTGGAAACAGCTTTTTAAGGATGGACAGGTACTGAAGAAGCCAGCTCATCTGGTCAAAGACGTTTTGAGGTTACAAGCACAAAATCCCTTGTGGAGAACATAACTGCCCTCCAATTATGCAACCTGTGAAGAGGCATGATGACCATCTATGCCTGCACAAAATAACCCTAAAACTTGCCAGCCAATTAACAACCAACTTCTCCCCTCTCCCTTCCTATAAATCCCACCCATTACTAAACAAAGGAGGAAGCAAATTTGAGCTTCTAGCTTCTGGTCTTTTTAATGACCACATGAAAAAGCATTTTCTTTTTGCAAAGCCTAGTGCAGCCCCACCAGCAGTGTATGAATGTACTTTTTTTTCCCCACATTTTCACCAACACTTATTGTTGTTTGTCTTTATAGTAGCTGCCATTCTGCTGGAGTTGGATGAAATCTTAGAGTAGTTTTGAATTGCATTTCTCTAATTGCTAGTGATGAAGAACATTTTTAAATGTGTTTGTTAATTGATTATACACTATCTTCTGAGAAGTGTCTGTTCAGATCCTTGGCCCATTTGTTGATTGAGTTATTTGTTTTTGAGGTGCTTAGCTTTTTGAGTTCTATATTATACCCTAGAGATTAGTGTTCTATCTGATGCATGAGGGGTAAAGATTTGCTCCCAAGATGTAGGCTCTCTATTCACCTCACAGATTGTTTCTTTTGCTGAGAAGATACTTTTTAGTTTGAGTTCATTCCATTTATTGATTCTTGATTTTAATTCTTGTGCTGTAGGAATCTTATAAGGAAGCTGGGGCCTAATCCCACATGATGGAGATTAGGTCCTACTTTTTCTTCTATTATGCCCAGGGTCTCTGGTTTTATTCTTGGGTCCTTGATCCACTTTTGAGTTGAGTTTTGTGCATGGTGAGAGATAGGGGTTTAATTTCATTTTGTTGCATTTGGATTTCCAGTTTTCACACATTTCCTCCTTTCAAACATGCAACCCCATATGGTCCCTGCATTTTAGAGAAGAAAAAAAAATGCTGGAGTATTTATAAGTCAGGTCTTGAGAATTCCTTTGTGTGAGTGCAGGAAAGATGTCAGCACAGGAGGGGGAAAAGAAAGACCCAGACTAAGAGGTGCCAAAGTACAAATTTCCTATGGATTTGAGAAGGGGCAATGATAACTTTTGCTTTGAGTTCATATTAGTGGCAGAGGTGTTTGATTTTACATGTTCAATTGTATGCATTACTTCTCACTAACCACATGGATACAACTTACCAGTTCCCAAGAATATAACACAAAGGACTGAATTGTCAAATTAGACTCATGAGAGTCACCACAGATTTCACCCAATATCCAACTTTATTAATAATTTCAGGGATACAGTAATTGTCAGGTAAGGACAGAGCAGTGAGTTGTCTGGTCTGCCAATGGGCTAACTTTGGCCCTTGCTTTCCGCTTTAGGAAACACTCTGACCAGACTAACAGATAACACGAGATCACAAAATAATGGATGGCTTTATTATTTACACGAAAATAGATGCTTTGGTCATGACACATCCTCTTTCGTCACTCAGAGGGTTCTGTAACTTTTATGTCATTTTCTAGGAAACCTTGTTCCATCAACTCATAGATTATATACTAACTTTTTTTWAAAAAAAATAAACAATTTAGACAGGCAATACATGTTGCTAAAAACATGTCACAGATAAGGATTTTGCCAAGAAAAATCTACTAGTTTTTTATAACAAGCTTATCATTAGCAAGTTTACAAAAAGCTGTTACCAGGTCAGGATCCTTTCTTTATTTCTCAGGAAGACCTTCCTACCTCTGAAAAGGAGAGTGGACAGCAGCCTGGTGACAGCAATTTTCTTTCCACTCAGAGCATGCACATATTTGTCAGAAGTAGTAAGACCAAAATAAATTCCCATTTGGATCTATTGAAACATGGACTGCTAGAATGTTGTGCAACATTTTAGTTATAAAATGTTGAGAAAAGATTTCACCATTCATATATTAAATGGACATTGTTTTCTTTTCGTCAGGTCTTTGTTCGAGTTTGAAAGATGTTTGAGTTATTGAAGTCATCATTTGCTTTAAACAAGGGCACTGGAAATTATGGGGAGGAAGGGTGTGGTTACTTGCAGTGGACACCAGAGGAGGGGAGGAGCTGCAAAGGGAGAGGCATCTTTGAAAAGAAGTCATAACTTTTCAAAAATAAATCTAGCTCTAGTGCAGCTGAACTTTCTGTGAAGTTTCAGTTTGGGATCTTTCTGCAACAGACTCACAAACGTTTTGAGTGCAAGGTTTATTTGGTATGTATATCAAGTAAAGGTAGGAAACAGACTGTTAATACAGGAAGGGGAAGGCAGAACAAAATAAATGTTCTCTTACTCTCCATCTAGCTACTTGGAGGAAACTGGAGTTGACACTGTTGAGGGATTCTGGGAAATGGGATAAAGTTTTCAAAACTTCTTTGCTTAGGGATAGTGTTGTCTGGACTATAACAAATCTGGAGATTGACTGATTGAGGTTCACCCTGGTGATAACTATTCAGCACTTCTATACTGCCATGTGTGAGAGCAGCAAGGCTTTCAGTGGGCTTAAGAGGGGAAAAAAACATTTCATAGAAACAGAGATGCTGATGCTATTGTTCCAGAGTTCCCCAAATATTCCAAGGGATATGGGCAGGACAATGAAAAATTCTGCTGCAAATAGAGATGTGTGGTAGGGATCCCATGGCATGAAATAATTTACTGTCTAGATACAAAAAGGAATCAAAGGCTCAACCAAGACTGACAATTTAGGAAGAATTAACTGTGTGCTTACTGGTATGTACTCAGTTGTCTTATTTGTGTCTTGGGCCTATTGTTCTTGAATCAAACATGTCTTTACCGGATTTTTACTTCTGAGTCAGTGAACTAAGATGAAAAGGAAAAAAAAAGTCACTAGTATGAGTCTCACAAAGACAGTCTCACCAATTGGTCTGAAACTTTTCTGAAGGTGGTTCTGTTAATGTTGAAGTTTAGTGTGATCTCTACTTCAGTCCTGTTACAAATTGGTACCATTCAAATCAAAATCTGAAAGCAAAATCCTAAACTATTTTGTAGTTAAGGCAATTTTACATGAGATTAAACAAAATGAGCAAAATCAGACAACTTTATGCTAGTTCAGCTTTGTCTTGCTCCCATTCTGAAAAAGAATAGAGATCAAGTGATTAAAGGATCATTTATAAATCACTTCTTTCCATTAGGATGTGCATAAAATCTGAATGGAGGAATTTTCATGACTATGTTCTCTGGTAATGATTTATATTTTAGCAATTTTAGTGGTTCTGTGAAATCAGCTATATGCACACAATGCAAATTAAACAGATGAAACTTTTAACTTCGTGGCTAAACTTCTGACTTCATGAAAATGGAAATCAAATCACAACCTTTATTTTGGCATTTGTATTGTTTTTATTTTGGGGTTGAAAATCTCTTATAATAAAATGAATRTATAGCAAATTATATTGCTTAAAAATATATATAAAACACAAAAAGCTGAYGTGGGAGTCTTATTTTGTGTGGGGATGAATGGTAGTGGGTGTCTCCATAGACCCAAATCCCTGCTCTCGAGCAAGACTCTTATTCTGCCACACCCGTTTCATAATTGGTTACTCATGAATAAGATTACTCTTTTGGGGGTGGAGTACCAGGGATTGAACTCAGGGGCACCCGACCACCGAGTCACATCCCCAGCCCTATTTTATATTTTATTTAGAGACAGGGTCTCATTGAGTTGCTTAGAGACTCGCCATTGCTGAGCCTGGTTTTGAACTTGGAATCCTCCTGCCTCAGCCTCTGGAGCCACTGGGATTACAGGCACATGTTACGGCACCCAATAAGGTTACTCTTCTGAGGACAAAAAAGTGAACTAAAGTATATATATCATGTGAATAACAAAAATAATTATAATAATCCATGTTAGTAAAAATAAGAATTATAGAGCAACTAGTCATGTACAATAGTCAAGTCATGTTGAAAGAAATATCTAAGCCTAATGTAAATGAGGCACTGACATGTGGATTTAGAACACCTGAGGCTGTGTTGGAGCACAGGTATGTGCTTTTGTGTGCATGCGTACACATACCTGTGTGTTTATAAAGCAGTAGTGGGAAGCCACTCTGGTTCCACCTTTTGGGCTGGGTTAATGAGGCAGAAACAGAATAAGACATGGAAGTACTATCTGTCTGTGCTAAAGAAATGAAATTAATGTCTCCAAAATACATACATACAAAGAGATGGGCTTGGTTTAAAATATATGGCATGTGTGCTCTGGAGAAAGACTGCCTGGCTTTCAAGTTTCAGAGACCTTGATCAAGTCACTCAGCTCTACTAGGTCTCATACTACCCATTACTAAAATGCGGCTGTTTTTTGTATCTTAAATATTTAGCCATTTTTTAGAAGTTAATTTTAAAGAATTTTTAGACGTCAAGTTTAAAGCTATATACTTTAAACTGTGCACAGTACAAGGTAAATAATAAAGATTATTATTAAGAGAAAGATCAGTGTGGAACTTTATTATGCTAAATAAATTTATCACTGGTTTGCACATATTTTTCCCTACTTTCCAAATAATTTTTAAGACAACTTTGCTGCACAAACATTGGAAAAAACTCCCTCTCACCTTCTTGTGTTCTGGTTCAAGTGTTTCCATTACAAAAGTATAGTGAGAATTTCCTGTATTGTGGTTCCTAGAGCATCTTAGAAGCTTGTGATTTTTACCACTTCTTATTCATATCACTATCTATACCTATGCTTCTCATCAATAGATGATTTAAGAACATTATTTTAATACACAAATTTTCTTTCTCTTTTATAGTTTCTCCAGCCTTAGCCTCCTGCTCAGCTTCATGATCCAACACCATTCCTGCTAAGGCAGACACATTGTGTCTTCTCTCCATCAAGCCAGGAACATCTTTTCAAATGGCAGGTATGCGCAGCCTCGTCATAAAATTGAAAACATAAAAAACAACCAGAAAAATGCATCTCATAGATTAGCTAATTTCAGAACAGTGCTTTAAAATTTAAAAAGGATGTTTAGGCTTTCTATCTATTAGTCGTTTTGCATTCACTTTACTTTCCTGATTCTTCATTTTGTAAGTTAAGTGTGATTTTATGAAGTAAAATCTTTTGTAAACTTTTCCAACGGTTCAAGTGGCTTCTGATAGGGTACCTCTAAATTTGTAATAAAACATGAACATAAGTGGTTCAATGGTAAACAACAAATTTCTAGCACTGAAATAGAGAATGTCAGATTTTAATGACACGGTGCTCCAAAGTTTTTAATTTAATATTTGTCTTGTGACATTCAAAAATGACACAGACTGACACATTGTACTGTTGTTATAGACAATATCACTCTTTGAGAGTGTACTAATTTAATTCAGAATCTACTAATGTTGAAATGTTTTAGAGCAAATGAAAAAAATTTGAATGAGATTTTTTTAAAAGCATAAAGAAAAAAAGTCACTTATGTGTCATACATAATTCAGTGTGCTGTGTTGAACTTGGGCCTCCAACCCACACACTGGTTGTGCCATCTCTCATCACACAGTTTCAGAATGCTCCCTGTCATCTCACCTATAGTACCTTCAGAAACCTGTTTATTAGAGCAGATCTTGCATTGAAATTAAGGAGGGGCACAGTCCCTAGTAGTATTCTTGTGACAATGACAGAATATGTCAAATAAAAAACTTTGAACCTAGACAAAATTTGATTTTTAAGGTGGGTACTTACTAGCCTTAATACTTTTTTCCTCACCATCTAATGGGAATTATATTATATATCTTGTGATTTTGTTGAAAGAAAAACAGTATATGTCCATTATATAAGCTCATCAAACAGTTTGCTGCCTGTTGATCTCTTCTTACAGCAGATATTTTGACTTCTTTGCTAAGGTAAAAGATAAGTGAGAAATCTATTTTACTGAGATAGAACTCATAGAAAAGAACATGCATGAATTATCTCACTGAAGAATAACATACATAAAAATGTTGGTATTTTGAATAAAATGTCTTCATATTCCAATCTTCAATTGGCAAGATATCTCTGTTACCAAATGAAGAACTCTTTGGATTCAATTTCATTGGCTTCTCCTCTTATGAACCTCAGCTTCTGTGTTTGTTCTTTAAATCATCATCATATACATTTTTTTCTCTACAGTTTCTCAGATCACTCTGTGGAGATTCATTTCTGGGGCCTTGGGAGTAATATGCCTTTTGTTGATGGCTACTTTGGGAATTTTGCTGAAAATTTGTAAGTTTTTCTAGAAAGTCTATATAAAGATCAAAATTGCAATTACATCATTTAATAGTAAATATTCCATTTTACTACTTTGTAATTGATTATTCCATAAACCTATTATTATTCCAAAAACCTGATTAAGTAAATCCTTAATGTTTTTTAACAGCATATACTAAAAAAACTATCCAACCAACATTCTCTCCAGGATCTATGATAGAACTCCAAGAAGGTGGGTTTCATTCTTTGCAAATTCTATGACTGATAAAGAATTAAAGAGACAGTATCTTGTTTTCACACACAGATGCATGAAAAAATATTGCAGTTAGTGACACAAGTTTGCCTGTTGACTGTAGGATAGTCACATTTCATAGTTCTCTAATGTAAAAATGATTAAATTACATTGAATGTGTATGTGTCAGTTGGCTTTCTAGAACTGTGACAAATATCTAAAATAATCAACTTCTACAAAGAAAAAACTTATTTTGGCTTCTAGTTTTGGAGGTGTTAGTACCTAATTGGTTGACCCTGCTGTTTTTTGGCCTATAGCAGGTTACCACATCATGGTGGAGTCACATGGTGGAATGGAACTATTCACATCATGGCAAGACAGTGGGAAGAGGCCAGGGCCCACCATCTCCTTCAATGGCATGCCCCCAGTGACCTAAAACTTCCCACTAGGACCTGTATCACCTCCTGATGACACTAAGCAGGGAACCAAGTTTCTCACCCCTGGGTCTTTGGGGACATTCCAGGTCAAACCTAGCAGTGCACCATTATATATCTTATAAATAGAAAAAAAAAAATGTTTCGTTAGTTTGTGTTAATATTCTCTGAACCATAGTTTATATAGGAAATTCCCAAAAAATATTTGTAGAAAAACAATAATAAATGGCACACAATTTTTAAATGAATAAGTAACATTGAAAAAAATTTATATCCTCTGAGTCATCTCATATTTTTTTTTCTTAGTGTCTGACTGCTGCTCTTGCCCAGAAAAGTGGATTGGGCATCAGTGCCACTGTTATTTCATTTCTAATGAAAGAAAAACTTGGAACGAAAGTTTCCATTTTTGTGCTGCTCAGAATTCCAGTCTACTTCAGCTCCAAAACAGAGATGAATTGGCATGTACTTTATTCTTGTTTCCTACATTTTATTTGAACCCATAAAATATGCTATATTAGCTGAATACTTTGACTTATATTTCTAATCAGATAGAAAATGAATGGTTATATATATATATTTTTGAATGGTTATATTTGAACCAGAAACCTAACAATTTCAACCTGGAAGCAATCATTAAAACCTATATAAAATTCTTCAAAGATTTACATCATAACCACAAAAATCTGGATAAATACCACAAACTTGTCAGCAAGAATTCAAAGAATAAGCAATACGTCATTATTTTTACATGTTAATCAAAGAACCAAAAAAGTGACTTTAGAAATTTAAGTTATTCTAATATAGTATATAATTTCATTTGTAATTATATAGCTTTTGTCAATCTTTCTGTAATATAATATAGAAGCAGTAGTATAGTGTGTGATCATAAAAATTATCAAATTCTTACCAAAAAATGACAAAATTCTTAAGGTACAGGTAGGATCTGTGCTGAGCATAGGGTAAGAAGGTTGTATTCATGAGATTCATCCTTCAAGATATTGTAAATTTGGAATCAAATTTGATCATTGCTCCTCTCTGAAGGAAGGGTTATATGAAAACTCTTAAGTTCATTTTATGATGTTTCTCATTCTTTCGAGAAGTAAAATTTGGATTCAATCTCATTGGCTTCACAAATAAATGGGTCTAATAAATTAGAAATTTGAGGCATGTGACTATAAATTAGAAGCTAAAAATGATTTCAGATTATGTAATGGACAGGCTGAATCTTTTCTGAGCTCTAACTTTCTTTAAAGTATTATTATAACCAGACTGGTGGTACATGCCTGTAATCCCAGTGGCTCAGGAGGCTGAGGCAGGAGGATCATAAGTTGAAGCCAGTCTCAGCAATTTAGCAAGGCCCTAAGCAACTTAGCAAGACTGTGTCTCAAAATAAAATATTAAAAAGGCTGGGGATGTGACTCAGTGGTTAAGCGCCCCTGAGTTCAATCCCTGGTACCAAAAAAGAAGTATAGAATAATCCTAGAGTAGATTCACGTTTGATTAATATGCTTGTCTTTGTCTTGAAGCAGGTTTTCATGAACTCCTCTCACTCCTTTTTTTGGATTGGACTCTCCTATAGTGAAGAACATGGTGCCTGGTTGTGGAAGGATGGCTCATCTCCCAATCAGGATCTGTAAGTTTCTGGCCATTAAGGCCTTTTTTCCTTTCTTTCTTTCTTTCTTTTTTTGCTTCTTGTGAATTTATCCTTAGTTAGTTCTGACTAGGGAAGGTCACATCCAAGCAGGGTGATTGTAGCTAATATTACCTGTGCAGGGCATGAATACACGTAAAACAAAAAAGACATAACCATAAATCCACCTAGGACACTCCTCAAGTTTAGGTTCAATGACATGAAAGTTAGTGTACTCTTGTTGACAGATACTCATTTTTTTTTTTTAACCTCAGTACAAGCACTTGGAAGTATACATGTATGCACTGAGCCATCTAGAGAAAAATATTTATTATTTGTTCTGATAAAGACCCAATATTATTAGCATTCTCCTGTTTTTCAAATATTCTGGGCTTATTTTCTATGTTATCTTTAAATGTAATGTTCATTCATGAATATGGGATTTGTAGAGTCATACAATGACAAAGTTTATAAACTGGTTTGTTTTCCCAAATTAGGTCAACTAATACTTCTTAAACCAAGTAGAAGTAAAATATCATACATGTAAACCATTTATGAGCACAGTAAACAAAATAGAACAAAACAAAATAAAAAAATTTAAAAACTGTGGCCTCAATTTACTGAGTATAGAGAGAATTAACTGAATTTTGTGAAGTATTGTATGCTAAAATCATAATTATGGGTATTGAAAAAAAAGAATAGTTTGCTAATATGTCACTTAAAAGCTTTTAAAAGTTCTACCATTTAATAAAATAATATCCCTGAACATTCATATTTCTTTTTTTTTCCATGCTAACATTTTCTTTTTTTGTTATAGATTTCCATCATCAGAAACTTTAAATCCAAAGTCCTGCATAGCATATAATCCAAAGCAAAATATTTTGGATGAACCCTGTGAAAATACAAATGGCTTTATCTGTAAGAAATAACTTAGTTAACTGTTTCTTGAGGTGGTGAGGTTGGACAGTAAAGGTCCAGGCTTGCAAAGAATGGTATCTTTACCTCTAATTTTTTAAAAATCTACTTCTGGAGCCTATAAAATGTTTTCAATTATATTTTATCATACAATTTTTATGTATTTGAAACCACGTATTTTAAAATTGATGGAATTTGAACATCCACATTTGAGAGACAAGAATTAAGATAAAGAATTTCATGAATATATTGATTAGATGTATATTTTACATTAAATGTAATTTTATACATACACTTGTATAAATACTCTCTGAAAATATTTAAATAAAATTTAATTCACACCAAATAATATATTTATCAGACATGTCCTTTCAATCTTTAATATGGCATACTAAACTGAGAAGTGTTAGGCTCATCTCAATTTCTGGAAGTTAAAATAATTTTTAATGTTCTTTGTTGTTTCCTTCTGAACATACATGTATATTCATATACACACATATATACACACATGTATCTATTTAATTTTAGAGCTGAAAGTACAGTATAACAAATTGCTCATATGTATCACTGCTTGAGAAGAGAACCTATATTTACATCCTATCAATGGTCTTGAGTTATACAGAATGATTGTAAGCAAGTGTTTGGTCAAACATTGGTTCTCATGGGATTGCTTCCATATTTTGTAAGGGTAAAGGGAATTTATGCGCTAGTCACAGGAATTTATTTCTTTACTCCACAGGTCTTTCTTGTCTTATGCTTATCTTCCAGGTAACAGAGTCACTTACACATGAATAAAAGATCATATTCCTCTTCCTGAAATTATGTGTCTAACACTAAACCATTCCTTTTTTGGGAAGGTAGAGAACAACACATTGACATACAAAGGGATTTCTGAGTATGTCAAAGAAGGGGTTGGGACAACAAAAAGCTTATTGCCCGTGATGTGGATGCACTTTTCTTGACATTACAGTTGTCAAAAGCTCATGTTCTCTCATAAGTGTTGCATGTGCACGTTAAGAAATTTGTTTTGATATCTCTACTTGCTTTATGTCTTTATATTTTAATAAAATAACAATAATTAAGAACCCAAAGTTTATTCCTAACATATAGAGGCACATTTAAGCAAAGACCTCCTAAATTTGATTTTTCACATTATAAATATAATAGTTCTACACACTGATCACTTCACATTCTTCTATGAATATTGACTTAGGAAAAACCTGAGTTACATTAGAAAAGATACAGGGTAGAATATTGTATCTTTAAAATGTTTAACTTGGAGCAAGAGAGTTTTCACACTGTATTTTGTGGAGATTAGAATGTTCTGAGGATTTTTGTCCATGTGATCACAAAGTAATGTTTCTAATTATTATTTTCAAGCATAGTGCTAACAAACTCTTAAGGGAAATAAACAATTTTTGGTACTCACTTCTTCATCTGCCTGTCCTATTCCCATGAGGCAATTCCTTCTGCTTTTATTTTGCTACTTAAAGTGACAAATGAACCAAAGCTGACTTATGTGCATTGTTTTTTTTCCTAGTACAAACCTCAAAAGCTTTAAATTAATTAATCAAATTTAAATGGAAAGATAGCATTGTATGGTTTTTAGAGTGTTATTTTTAAAATATATTTCTTTATTTTTATGTGATGCTGAGGATCGAACCCAGTGCCTTACACGTGGAAGGCAAGCACTTTATCACTGAGCTACAGCCCCAGCCCCAGTGCTATGTTTTTAAGTGTGCATTTTGGATGGGTTATATCTGACTTCTTAACTAATGTGTCACTTCATGTAGTTATCATTTTCTATGGTGTGAACAAAAAATACTTTATAATTTTCAATAATACAATATATCATCATTAACTGTCATTATATTGGTGTAAAATAGATCTCTCAACATGTATGCCTTTGATCTAACTGACATCAACTGTTTTCATGTACCCACACACAATACAGGTCTACATTCTTACTTTTCACATCATCACCCCCTCAGATGTTCAGAGACTGGTCTTCCTTTTTTTCTGAGCATTCATCACAGCTGCAAGAGTAATGGAAAAATCAAAAGTTTTAAATATGTTTTTAAATATATATATATATTTAAATATATATTTAAGTATATATTTAAGTATATATTTAAACTATGTTGGATGCTGTCTATTTTAGAGAGTAAGCTATGCCAAAAATTGTCTCCAATGGGAGAAGAAAATTATTTTTGCCTCCCAACTATAATTAATGTTTTTTTCAGCTCTCAATATTTCAGGGCATTTTGATGGCTTAAAAGGAGAAGACTATTCACCAAACAGTGTCTCTCTCACATGGTATCATATTAGTCATACTCAGTTCAAACTCTCTGGCCTGCTTCATTTTTCTCTTCTTCTCTTTATTATTGTATTCTGATTTTTTTCATTCTGAAAATATCTTTGTAGTCTTTGGGGCAGGACAGAATTCTTTGTTATATAGACTGTCTTACCAAAAATTTCGCCTCTAATATAAGATTTCTAATATATTTTCTGGGGAGAGACACATTCTCCCCCCCCACTCCCTCCTTCCCTCCCCACTTCCTCCATCCCCCGCTCCCTTTACCAAGAAATAAGAAAGTGTGCATGGAAATATCTAGTTCACTAACACTCTATGCTAGAGATGGAGCAGAATAGGGCAAGTAAATGTGAAAAGTTCAGATATAATAATAGAATAATTTTGCCTAGAGCCACTTTGTATTTTCTTAATTTCACACATAATTAAAGATAATGAAAAAGCAGAAAGTATAAATATAATGAAGACAACAACCTTGGAGAGAAGGAGAACAATAGAACACCATGTCTCTGAAATGCTTATCCCAGTTCCCCAAATTCTAGACAAGAAAACAGGAAAGCAAGTCTGGGCCAAGGTATACAGATACATAGATACATATTATCTTTTTTTCCCCCAGAAACATATACTTTTATTTTTKTAATTTAAGATTTTAAAAATATTTTTGTTATTTTATTTGTTCTTTTTAGATATACCTGACACCAGAGTATATTTTGACATACACACATGGAGTATAACTTATTCTAATTAGGATCTCATTCTTGTGGTTGAACATGATGCAGAGTTACACTGGTCGTGTATTCATTTATGAATATAGGAAAATTATGTCTGATTCATTCTACTTTCTTTACTATTTCCATCCCTCCTCCCCTTCATTCCCTTTTGTCTTTTTCCAAGGAACATCTATTCTCCCTGAAGTGGGCACCCCCTTTCTCCACAGAAAAACCCTCTTCACCATGGCTAATTTGGGGACTGTCAGCAAAAAAGTCCAATGTAGATAAACTTCCTATTTTCGTGTCACCCTGTTTTACTTGGCCACTGGCCGAGAAGATACCAGCACTCCAGGTGCTGGACACCCCCTTACTAGTTTTCACAAACATACTAAGTATAGTACTTTGAAGAAATATGTAAACAAGTCCTCTGGCCTTGAGCTGGAATTCACAGAGATGTCTACATTTTTAAGATAAGTTACAAWTGGGCTCCATGGTAACAGCTGGCAGGGGGAGGAAAGAAAGGGGAGAAGAAGCTCTCCCCTTCTCAGGTGTTGTCCTTGAAGAGTTAACTCGCCCAGAACAGTGAAAGAAAAAACTGCTTTTGTGAACTTCTGCAGACTGTGAACTTCTGAGCCCCTCCCCTTACTCGCTGGGTATAAAACTCTGAAACTCCCTGAACTCGGGGTTTCGGGGGGATTAATTGATTACAGCAAAAGCTGTGCCCCTTGAACCTGGCTGCAGCCAAATAAAACAGTTTCCTGCTGTCTTCGGTGCCTTGCCTCATTTGTCCCTACAACATCCCCACCTCCCCTTAAGGTGTGTTAACATCCACCTATCAGAGAGAACATGCGACCTTGGGTTTTTGTGGATTGGCTTATTTTACATAGCATGACAAGCTCCAGATCCATACATTTACTGGCGAAAGTCATAAAGTCATTCTTGTTTATGGCTGACTAATATTCAACTGTGTATATGTACTACATTTTTTTTATCCATTCATCTGTTGAAAGTTACCTAGTTTGGTTCCATAGCTTAGCTATTGTGAATTGAGCTGCTGTAAACATTGATGTGACTGAGTCACTCTAGTATGCAGATTTTAAGTCCTTTGGTATAAGCTAATTTTTTTCTTTTGCTGTGAATAAGTTTTTTGTTTGAAACTATCCAATTTATTGATTCTTAATTTTACTTCTTGCACTTTAGGAGTCTTGTTGGAAAACTGGGTTCCTAAGCTGACATGATGAAGGTTTGGGTCTACGTTTTCTTCTAATAGGCGCAGTGTCCTTGATCCACTTTGAGTTTTGTGCAGGGTGAAAGATAGGGGTTCAATTTCATCTGGTACATATGGATTTCCAGTTTTCCCAGCACCATGTGTTGAAGAGGCTATCTTTTCTCCAATGTATGTTTATAGCACCTTTGAATAGTATGAGATAACTGTAGATGCATATTATCTTGAATGATAATGATTGTCTCTGACATCTGTTGGGAATGAGAGCAATTTAGTGTTATCTGTAGCATTCTTGTATGCATGGTAAATTTGGGGGAATGCTGGCCATACAGGAACAAAGTAAGCTAAGCTAGTGATGTCACTGCTTCTGTAGCCTAGCTTATAAAACCCCTCTCCTTGTGGTACCTGGCATGGATCAGAGCACTATGGAGAGAGAAGTGCTTATCTAGTCAGCCTCCACTGGACAGAATGTCCTGAGGAATAGGTGGTTCTGTCTTTTGACAAGACCTACAGGCATCATGAGCAAAGAAGGTGCACCTGTGCAACTGGTAGCCACTGAACTCTGTGGTGAAGCACCTGTCCAGACCATTGCGTCTGGACTTTCCCCATAAGCATTTTTTGGATTAGCCATATAGTTGCCCGTCACCTTCAGGTGTCTTCATTGGCCTTTCAGCAATGTATCTTTCTACTCTAGCACAACTAGGCTTGGATGTTACAATAATGTTTAATTTCAGTGTGTGTGCATCCTAACAGGTAAAAACTCAATAAAGCATGTGTTATAATTGGGCTGCAAGATACCCACCAATTGTGCACTTGTCTAATTTCCTTCCAAATTATATTTGGGTTGATCTGTGTGACCAAATCACTGCAGTAGAAATGATGGTATGGCATTTCTGAGGCTAGATCATAAAGATAAATTTCTTTCTTCTTTCTTTCTTTCTTTTGTTTGTTTGTTTGTTTGT